GTCTGAAATGAACATTCCTAATATGTATTTCTTTTCCCCAAATGCCAATGTGGTGTATACTGAGCAGGACTGTGACAAGGGTGTTTTTAAGAGCCACTGATTTAGTCAATTATCAAAAATCACATTATAATAAATGCTGTTCTAAGAATTTTGATTAACCTTTAAATAAATGTTACTTTGCAAAAAAAAAAAAATCTGCCAAATGTGTTAATGATAAATTGTGAAGTGGTAGTAATTGCAAGTATGGTTTCATAGATAATATAGTTAATTGATACCACCCTCTCAAATGGAGATAGCACATCAGCTGCCGTGTGATGGTAATGGCGTCTGTGGCAGTTTTGATGCACTGGGGATGACAGGGGTAAAATGGAAACTTGGAGTGCCTTGCCAGGGTCGTTCTCTCATGGACATTTGATGCCCATGGTCAAGTAAATTTTTAATGACACACAGTCACTACACACCTTTCAGCCTTCAGGAGAGGTAAGTGTACATTGATCTGTCCTAATTAGCCTTGCAGAGCACTTCAGACATCCCTGCAGAAACACAATTATTTAATAAAACGGGAGCTGTTTTGTTTTGTTTTTTCACAAGCTCAGCATTTGATCCTTGGATGACTACATTGTTTTCCTCTGGTGTTTTTTCTTTACTCAGGTCTCATGTCTCCTGTTCATCCTTGTCTTTGTCTGACAATGTAGTATTAATGAAGCTGCATAAAAAGTAAGCAAAATTAAGAAATGGTCTGATTATGAAGGGTCATTGCTATTATAAGAAGCCCACAGTGCACACATCCATTCTTCCCTAATGTATAGGGTGCTGACTATACAACTGCCTGGGAAGGCATTAAGGATACACAAGCAATTCTGTTGAGGTGTGCAACGGGATGCATTTATGTTTGGCAATAAAGGCGACTCTAGAAAACCTGAATTGCAAACCCAGGTTGTCAAAATATCCTGCAATTGCTTGAGATGGGAACATTCATAGAGTGACACATTTTTGTTTTGTTTATAGAGTTTAGTTTTAACCTGTGTTTAAGGTAGAGTATGAAGAAACCTGATTTTGTTCAACTTTGTAATAAGCCAAGTATTATTTGTAACACTTACTGATCCACTTTGGAAGTAGAGGCACTTTTAAATAAAGATGCTTATTATAATTGTGGAGTTACTCTGTCACAAGTAGGATGTAAAACGTGATCTTAAATTCTACCCTATTGATAACCTCTGTGGCCAGAGCTCCTCAGAGGTACAATGTGCCTTGACAGAAATGGTCTGCAAATTACTGGGTGTATCTGCTCCTAAGAAAATTAAATAAAAGCAGCTTCTAGTATGCTATTGGTCTGGGCATGGATGGCAATATCTAGAGTTGCCCTAGTACAGAGGAATCAGGCTGTTGGACCCACAGATGTCTAATTTTTCTGCAGTTGATGCTCAGTGTTGAGAAAGCAGAAATAAATGTCTCAAGTAATGTTACAAGTAAGATGTAGAATATATGGTCTTAAATTCTACCCTGCTGATCAACTCTATAGCCAGAGCTTATACAGGAAAATTTGTAAAAATAAGAAAAAAAAGTTACACTTTCTAAATACTGTTTTTAAACATCTTTCAAAATTCTTGATTGAAAACTGAATTCATTTTCATAGGCATAAAATTGATGAATTTGTTGCTAAATATTTTCTTTAAATTGTGATGTTCATTCATTCATGAAACATTTCTTGACAACTACTGTGTGCTGTATAGTGTGTTGGTCGTGGAGGAAAAGAAATGACATAGTGTTTCTATCCATAATGTTTTAATAGTCATAAGTAGCAGAAAAAACACAGCTTCCTATGGTTTGACTCGAAGGAAGTATGTCAGCTCACTCCGCTGAGTGCGCGGCTAAGGGGGAGGTCAAGGTTGAAGCGTGGCTTAGTTTTCCTTTTGTTGTTTGTTCTTCTGGCTCAGCTTCATTGATGGGTAGTAGGAAAGTACTCTGGAGCGAAAGGGGGATGTCCCAAGGTTTCCTCCAAGCGGCAGGACTCTTTCCCAGAAGCTTCGTAAAACCTTCAAGGGCTTTAGCAGCCCAAGAGAAGAAGATGCTACAAGAGAGGGAAGGGGGGTCATGCACCCATTTATGAGTGTGGAGCCGTGCTGGGAGGGAAGGGACGTTACTGTAGTTACTGTAGGGAGTGAGTGTCTTGCCCATGAACATGGAGGTAAGAGTGTACTTTCCTAACAGCCCCGCCTGACTCACTGCCAGGTTTCAGCTTCACCAGTCTCCCCTTGGAGACCTCACAGACCCTTCCTCTGGTTTCACTCTTCTCTGTGCTTACCCTATCTCCACTCTTATCTCACTTGATGGTTGTTTATCCTAATCCCTATCTCTCTCCAGGAGACTCTGTGAGGGCCCAGTCTGTTAAATTATTCTCCTTTATTTTGGAACATAATTAGAAGGTTAATATAAGTTAATCAACTTTATAACTGTATGAGTGACTGATTATTTTAATAGTTGTCAGTGTTTGGCTCTAGTATAAAGGGATGAAGGTGAGTCTGTGACTCTGATCATACTTATAAATAGTCATTAAACGGAGGTCGTGAAACAGTCTTAAGAGTTCTTTGATTCTAATACCAAAGTTTTTGACTCAGAACCGACCAACTATTTTGAATATAATGTTTCAAGAATAATTATGTGTTTTCATGTACTGTACAATCCCCAGAGGGTGAAGAGATGCTGAGTGTCATCGATACTTCTATTTGTTGGGTGACTATGGCTGCATGTGTTGGGGCCTTAATCTTTGCTGTTCACGTTCTTTGGAGGATCAATACCATACTCAGAAAGCTTCTGTTCATGCTACATTCTGATATTTCTTTGTGCTTAATGATCTTTGAAATTTTTAATTGAATAACCAGTAGTTAGTTTTACTGATATTAGTAATGAAAATAATGAAATAATTAAAATACATTTTTTGAGAACACTGCATGCAGAACCTGATGTTCTTTGCTGTTAATGTTACAATGTGCAGATATAACATTTGAAGAATATTGGAAATTGGAGACATTAAATTGGAAAAGAATATAATAATGTAAGAAAATATAATGGTATCTTTAGACACAATTTAATCTCCAGTTCTGTGACTTTGAGACTCTTCGTGGTACAAAACAGTTGTCCAGTGTGCCTTGAAAACTCTCTGTCTGTCCAAGTGTTTCTCCAGGAGTCTGTCTTGTGTTGCTTTTTAAACATTTTAAAATTTTATTTACCATTACAAGGCTGAATTCTCCTAATTTAATGTATTCTTTATAGCAGTATCTAGACATTATGGTTTTCGAAAGACTTCATTATTAGCACATCCATCTTTGCTGAAGATGTAAAAAAGTAGTTTCTGTTTGAAAATCATCCAATTTTTCCATAACTATTTCTTATGCCTGTTTTAAAACACTACCTACAGTAAGACTGGAACATGTGCTATTGAAAGATATGTTTGAGTGATTTATAGAACATCACAAGGGTAGCCTATTATTTTCTACTTCTTGGGAGAAATTATGGGATAGTGGAGACAAGGGTTAGTAATAAGAATTGCAAGAGATGGTGCCGCTTCAATCTCCCTGCACCGCCATCACCAAGGGAAGCAGTTCCCTTTTGTGAAGATGCTGTGTTCTGGGCTGGTCAGATAGTTCAGCAGGGAGAAGCATTTGTTCAGCAACTCCGATAATCTAAGATTTGTTTCCATGGCCTACAGCTGATGCCCTATTAGTATAGCAAGTTCTTTGTTTTGATTACAGCTAACGTTTTTAAGTTGTGATGATTATGGTTTTTTTTTGTTTTTGTTTTTTGTTTTTTGTAAGGAGTGGAAAGATCGTCACAATAATTTGAATGTCAAGAAATTTTGTGGTTCTAATGAAACCATATGCAAGATAGTCAGAAGGCACCACACACACACACACACACACACACACACACACACACACACACACACAATTTAAGTTAGCAAGGTAGATTATTGATTTGAACCATTGCAAAGTACGTTCATTTGAGATACCTCCAGCTTTACAAGCCCTGGAAGGAAAAGGAAATGACGTTTATGGAGAAACACTTGGAAAGTCTGCTGTTTGTAGCCTAATCACTGGGCTGGAAACAAACCTTCGGAAGGGATCTGGTCCCTACTTATCAAAAAGGGGACTTGGGCTTTGTGAGGTTCAAGAATCTGCCTGGATTCATGCATGATTAATAAGAACACAGAAGAGGTGGGGCTCTTATTTGGGCCTATGTCTTTATTTTCAGTGTGGAATATGTTTGTCACTGTGTTAGTGAGGGTTTCTATTGCTATGAAGAAACACCATGACCAAAAAGCAAGTCGGGGAGGAAAGATTTTTGTTTGGCTTACATTTCTGTATTGTATTCCACCATTGAAGGAAGCCAGAACAGGAACTCAAACAGGGTGGACATCCTAAGCCAGGAGCTGATGCAGAGGCTATGGAGGGGTGCTGCTTACTGGCTTGCTTCCCATGGTTTGCTCAGCCTGCTCTCTTACAGAACCCAGGACCACCAGCCCAGGGATGGCACTTTCCACAATGGGCTGGGTCCTCCCCCATCAATCATTAATTAAGAAAATGTCCTAAAGCTAGACATGATGGAGGCATTTTCTCAACTGGGTTTTCTTCTTTTCAAATAACTCTAGATCTGTGTCAAGTTGACATAAAACTACCCAGTACAGGCACAATGTTAGGCTACTCTCTGGGACCCTCCAATCCTCTTAATGAAACTTAACTTGATGTGAGAAGAAATTTTCTTTACATGGATTTATTGTTAAAAATGTTACACCGGTCTTACAGTTCTCTAGGGTGGAAGTTTATTGACTTAAGGAAAAATTAAGGAGTTAGTTAAACCCTCAAAATGCTAGCTGCATTTGTCATTTAAAGAAACCAGCAGGGCGGTTGAGGCAACTTTTCCTAGCGCAGTTCACCAGAATCGCAGGCAGCTAGCTCTCTTTAAGAACGCAGGCTGAGCTGCTCCATCGGGCTGGGCACGGTGTTTTTCTCCTCTGCACACGCAGGAGATTGGCACTACTCTGCAGCGGTGTCACAGCCCGCAGTCATTTAATGCCTCTTCTGGTGAGGCCGGGATTCCACGCCCAAGTGCATTTAGTAGGTCAGTACAGTAATTTTAAATGTCTTTCTTTCAATCTTTTGCCATCTTCAATTATACCTTTCCACCCTGCTATTTGTGTAATTTTCTTCTGTCTGAAGTCTCTTTACTGTTGTTCTCCATTGCACAGCATGACAAATTACCCATCAAGCCATATCTTTTCAGCCCAGAAATGCGCAATAACACGGAGTCATGGCATTATCGCATGTTGTGCACTTTATTTCCTCACAGTTCATTCAAGTGTGTCACTTTATTTTCCTGGCTTCCTCTTGTCATCATGGAGATTAACCATTTTATCCTTCCTAAACTTTCGAAACAATTAGAATTTCATTAGAGTGGGAGCTGAGAGTGAATGCTTGCTCAGTCATATACGGGGTGTACTTTCACATTATCAGTGGCGAAATTAAAGCCATGAATCCTGTATCCTTTTTTGAAGGAGAGACTTTAGAGGTTATTATACAGCTGAGTAACCCTGGTTCTGGACATGGGAATTATTTGAGGCTCCGGCCACCAAGCACATTAACTGTAAGAAACCATTTAGACTGACACTGAGTACCTGACTCCTATGTTCTCCTGGGAATTTGGAAACTCTCAGGGACTCGTGTGTTCTGTACACAAAGTCTCTTTTCCTCTTAGCTTTGGCTAAATACCAATAGTGTACAGTGAGCAATGAGATACAATAGACATTGCCAGTGCGTGCTGGAAAATCAATTGGTATTGATGCTCTAATCAGCGGCGCTGCAGCTGGGATGTAGACACACTACTGGAAATGGTGATTAAGATTGCATTCAAAAGCATTTACAAAACCCCACAACATCTAGACCTCTTTTCAAATAGATTGCTGTTTTGTGAAGATAGTGAGTTGGCTAGCCAGTGGTACATCTAGATTCTGCTAGATTAATTTACAAATTACTTCATGGCAATATATTTTACGTATATTTTATCTTTTTCTTTTTCAATTATGTAAGTATCCATTATATGTAAGGTATAAATTACGTAAGTGCCAGGGATAAGGAAGAGTTGTGAGTGAAGGAAAAGTTCCAAGCTGTTTTGCCACAATCACTGGCAGCCATACAGTGACTGTGAGGAGGCTGTAGGAGGACAGGCCAGAGGGGAAGGAGCAGGCACAGACCAGCTCGGCTGAAAGCTTCTTCGGTTAAGAGGCCGAGGGGGCAAGAGCAAGGAAGAGATGGAAAGAATACCCCAAAAGAAAATAAGGCAGTAAGAATTATTATATGGAAAGCAGGATTTCCAGTTTGAAGAAACATGTTTGTAGAGTTAGAATTTCCTACCCATTAGCAAGCAATTAGCTGAAAGCATTAGCAAAAAATTCATTTTAGGAAAAATTAGGGCTGAAAAGAGGCTTAGTCAGTTGTGTTCACAAGACTGTTTTCTAGTTGAGATTTACCTCCCACACCCCCCCACCCCACCATGAACACATTTAAATTGTACTAGAAATCTACCTAGTGAAAGTTAGACAGCATACATGTGTTACCAGCTTTAGCTACTTTTATAAATAAGCCAGATAGTTAAGTCAGGGTACTGAGATTTTGCTTTTTATTTCTATGTATCCTTTAAACACAACTCCACACCAGTCTTGAAGTGGTCAACTATGGAAGCTGAGTGTCCTTCAGAAACAGACTTCAAAGAAAGGCAAGCTAGTGATGTCCTGCAGAGGGCTCTATCAAGGTACATTTGTCATGCAGAGAAAGAAAAGATTGTAAGCATTGGACAGCTTTTATTTTTTTTAAGGGTTTCTCTGTGTAGCCCTTGCTATCTGTCCCAGAACTCACTCCTTAGACCAGGCTGGCCTGAACTCAGAGATCTGCCTGCTTCTGCCTCCAGAGTGCTGGGAATAAAGGTGGGCACCGCCACCACCTGTTTTGACAATAGTTTTTTAAGCCATCAACTACATCATGCTTTGCTATATATGGTTCTAACAAACTTTGAGGATTTTAATCTTTTGAGAAAAATGGAAAGTATAGGAATTTTAGAGAATGAAAGAAGAAATAGGAACAAAAATTTAAACTTCAGAGAACAGCCCAAGTTTCAAACAACTTCTAATGTGTTTTTCCATGTGATACAAACCGTAGTTCTAATAGGACAGGGATTGTTTAGATATTTGTATTAGGGAAAAGGAGTCTCACAAGTAGACCAAATGTCTTGGAGTTATGATCCCTAGGACTCTAATGTTCATTCAGTCCTGCAGCAAATGGCCACACAGGGCTACTGAGTGCTGGAAATGTTCCGAGTCCTATCTGAGATGTGCTGTAAGTGTGAAAACCACACCAGATTTCAAAGATATAATGCAAATAAAAAGGAACGCAAAATATGTCATTACTCATTTTTTTTTAATATGGAGTGCTTCACGAATTAATGCTAGTTACATTATGGATATGTTGGCTTAAATAAAATACTTTGCTGACATTAATTTCATCTGCTCTCATTTGCTTTTTACCGCGGTTACCAGGAAAATTAAAATGACTTTCATGGTTGGCGTTTAGAGTTTGCATTTTATTTCTGTAGCTACACTGAGCATGCCAGCCATTCTTTCCCAGAAAAGAAATAAATAAAAAGAACAAAGGGAGATCTGGGTACTACAAAGTTTGAATCAAAGAGCTTGAACTTTCAAGGTAAGGGTGTATCTCAGTTTTATCTATCATGTCCAGTTCCATTAATAAAACATCAAATCCCTACCACATACTAATGGTAGTGTTTAGGGCAGTGGTTGTACGTATTACATGGAGCTGAGGATTGAGGTTCATAGCCAGAGAATTCTCTCACCAGATCCTCATGGACAGAAGCATGAAGACAAAAGTCTTCTCATTCGACTTCGGCAAATCTTTCTGAGGAACCACAGCTAGTGTGGATGAGAACCTGAGATTTTCTTGGCTGAGTTCCTATCTGGTGTCAAGCATTCAAGGACATTTTGTCATCGGCACAGAGGGAGTATTTGTGGCCTGTGATACAAACATGTCTAAGAAGACTTTGCCCATAGAGGGAGGACCTTGGCTGAGGACATAAGAACAAAGCATATTAAGAGATACTTGTACGAGAGAAGTACCTTGTAGTAGGAAGTAAGAACACAATGAAAACGTCATAGCTAAGAATATCTGTGAATCTCACTTGACAGAAATATTGCTCAATAAAACTCATGTGCAGTAGCTTAAGAGTAACTCACTAAAGCCAACTTTCAGGAGCTTTCTGGAAATGCAGCCCGATTCTTGAGGAAATAATTGAACCTGCTCCTGTCACCGAGAACAACACTCCTTACTACTACAGATTCAGCTCAGGAAATAGTAATATTTCTACAGTAACAGTTCTGAAATTTAAAAAGCAACAAAGGAAAATTGAAAGATGAGTGTAATTTTTCAAGCTTTGAGCCAAAAGGTGGGGGCACACATTTATGTGGTGTATGAGATGAATTTTTACTTGCAAAGAAATTCCAGTTCTAGTTGAAATGTGTCAGTTTGAAATTAATATCTGTTTTTCCTCAGTGCAGCTCATGCAAGGGAACCACTCTACTTCTGAACAGTCTCTCTTCCTTCCCAGATACATGGAAATTCACTACTGTTGCTGACAAACAAAATGCCACACGATTTGTCATACAAATCACATTATAAGAGGTTCCAAAATCTTGACAACGTTGACAGTTGTTTTCAGCAAATGGCTGCTTTCCTCTGCACTGTCAATGTTGATGTCCTTCTGCACATGTAAAAGAGCAATGTGATTAAGGCAAGCTTGGCCACGCTCTATCTGAGCCAAGTTTCCCGTCTCCGCACGGCACCGAGAGATTGCTCAGCTGTTGTAGATAAGGCAGGAATAGCTAGCAGATTTCTGCCATTTAAAAAAAAAAAAAACACATTCTCTGGGCATGCATTTCTGTAGGAATTCACCAACATCTGCTGCTGACCTAAAGTTTCCTATAGAAGTAGCATGTTTAATTTGTGTAAGTAATTCACAATGCTATTAGTCAAAACTCGTTCCCTTACAAAAATGATGAAATCTGTTCGCCAAGAGGAGATAGGTAGAACCTGAATAAATGTATATTCTTGAGGTCGTCATTGGAGCTTCCGGCCTCATACTTTTTGCCCATCCTAAATTTATTTTTTTTTGTGCATTCTCTAAGTTATATTTCACAAGAGAAACTTTTTAGAAAGAAGAATAAAGAGCTAAGAGATCTTGGTGATTCCACAGAAGGCCTACATTTCACACTTATCTTTTTTTTATAGGCTCTCTGAAAATGTTTGATTTTTGGAAGCTAATTTATTCTGGAAGAATTTTGTAGTTGAATTTTAGTGTGATTTAAAATTGTCATATGTGCTATCCTCAAAAGAACATGCAGGACTGAGGTATTTCTTGTTGTCAAGGTAACTTTGATAATCTCTAATTTCTTTGATTTTGGGCAGTAGCTTGTCTACCATTTCATTTGCCACTGCTTATTTAGAAAATTTATTCTCTGTATTCAACTTTGTTTCTTTTGAAATATGAGCCCTGTTCAGATAAAAATAAAGAACTCAAGTTACTCCCCAGAAGTTGAGCCTGCCTCGTGGAGAAGCGGTTGTCATTTGATTCACCTCTCCTCACTCTTGGTCACCTTCTAGTGCAGCTGCCTGCATTAACTGTCTGGCTTGTCTTTGAAAATCTTAAGCCACATTCTTGAGAACAGTTGCTCCATGTTGGTTGAAATTCTCAGTGGCACTTTTTTCCATTCACAGGAGCCAACAGCCTCCAAAGCAGACACATAGTTTCCAAGAACTCAGGCATAGTTCATGATTCCTGAATTTCAAATATTTCTTGTAGAAATCGGAATACCATGTACAATGTCTGAAGCCTTTGTACTGTGAATTATAATAAAAAGTGCACATTTATACTGTCAAGCCAGCATACCTAATTTTAAATATTTTCATTTTTATATCTAGCAGAGGGACACAGTTTGAAAACCCACTCATGAAAAATTAATCCAATGGCTGTGAGCAAGCAATTATTTAAAGACATTAGCT